CCCAGTAGAAAGAGCACTTCTTGCACTTCCATCAAGACTGGGAGGGATGGGACTAACTAATCCAGAGGAGATTGCAGCCACCGAACATCAAAATTCACTTAAGCTCACGGCAGCCCTCACGGACCACATAATAGCCCAGAACGCAACAGGGGAGGTCGAGACCAGTGAAGTAAACGAGATTCGTAGGTCCATTACGACAGATCGACAGCACTGCCAAAATGATAAGTTGCAGCAACTGTTGCTGCAGGTTCCAGAAAATTTGAAAAAAAAGTAGATATAGCGCAGGAGGTGGGCGCCTCGAACTGGTTAACTACGTTACCGATAAGGGCAAATGGTTTCAGTCTTAACAAACAAGAATTTACAGATGCCATTGCTCTAAGGTACGGTCGGCCAGTAGAAGGTTTGCCCTCTGTTACGAGTTGGGGATTTAGAATATAGTTATACGTCTACCCAGATCCCAACAGGTAACAAAAAAACAAAAACAAAGACAATCGGACTATAAAAGGGTAGACAAAGGATGCGAGTTTTCGTTGTGTATAATAAAGTACCATAAATCCCTAAACAAAATATTCAGCTTATAAATTACCCTTAACCAAACTTAACCTAAACATTAACAGTATATACATATTAATACAACATAAACAATTTTGAAGCAAGTGGACGTGGGGGAGGCAATACAAAATACAAATACTTAAGTGAGGAGCTGAGATGGCTGACGAGTAAGGCTGAGTATTGTAGAAGACGGTAGGTAGTCACTATCCGTAGGTTTAGAGGATAGATGATCCTGTGGTCACTTCCCAGAGCCAAGTACCCTCTCCTCGAATTGGAGCTCACAAAGAAGACTGGGAGGAAGTGACGCAACAACCAGGATATGGAGAAGGGAAACCCCGGAGTGGTAATTAAGACGAGTCATACTCGTGTCTCGTCCCTAGATGGCGTTGCTCGTGGTGCTGGGTAGGTAGATCAGGACAATAGATGACGTGGTTCGTAGTGCTGGGTGGAGGGGTTCGTAACACACCCCCCCCTCCAAAGACCTCCGTAGCGCGGGCGCGAAGGAGGTGATCACCTGGTGCGTCTTGAGAGTAGCTGCTGCATTTCCACTGGAGCTCGGGATAAGGAGTCTGCAATCAGGTTGTCGACCCCCTTTATGTGCCGGACTTGTAGATTATAGGGTTTGGGTGAGGAGAGCCCAGCGGAGGATTCGCTGGTTGGAGGTCTTGTTGGTTTGGATGAACGTGAGTGGGTTATGGTCGGTGAAGACTAGGGTTGTTTGTGGGCAAGACTGGAGGCAACATTCAAACTTCTTTATTGCCAACACCAGAGCCAGGGCCTCCTTCTCTATGGTCGAGTAGTTGGTCTGATGTTTTTTCAACTTGGCGGAGTAATATGCCACAGGGTGAAGAACATCAGTGGTTGGGTCGGGTTGTAGGAGCACAGCCCCCACTCCGACACCGATAGCGTCGATTTGCAGAAGGAAGGGCAAGGTGTAGTCAGGGGGATGGACTACAGGCTTGGAGGCAAGGAAGGCTTTGAGGCGGTGGAAAGACTGGTCGCACTTCTGGTTCCCCATGTAAGGGACCACAGATCTGGTAAGGTCTGTTAGCGGTCCGGCCACGCTGGAGAAGTTACTGCAGAACCGACGGTAGTAGCCGCACATCCCCAGGAAGCGCATGAGTTCCTTCCTCGTCCTTGGAGTGGGGAAGGATAAGATGGCTTTAACGTTTGCGTACTTGGGTCTCACCATACCATGCCCAACGATATGTCCCAGGTAAGTCACTGAGGCCCGGCCAAAAGCAGATTTAGCCAGGTTTATGGTGAATCCAGTCTCTTGCAGTCGTGCAAACAGTATCTCCAAACGCACCAGATGTTCGTCCCAGCCGTCCGACACCACCACCAGGTCATCCAGGTAGGCGAACGTCCCACCTAGGTCCTGAATTAGGAAGTTGATGGCCCTCTGGAATGTGGCCGGAGCATTAGAAAAGCCAAACGCCATAACCAAATATTGAAAAAGACCAAATGGAGTTATAAATGCCGAGATTATTTTTGCCCTATCCGTGAGTCCTACTTGATAATATCCTTTCAATAAGTCCACGGTACTGATAAATTTGTGCACAGCCTATGCTGTCTATTATATCTTCAATCAAAGGTAAAGGGTAGGAGTCTGAGACAGTGACCTGGTTCACTTTACGATAATCGGTACAGAAACGAAAAGTGCCATCGGGTTTTGGAATGAGAAGGCAAGGTGAAGCCCAGGGGGAGGTACTAGGCTCAGCCAAGTTATGTTTTAACAAAAAGTCTACCTCCTTTTTCATAATCTCTCTTTTTTGTGGATTTAGTCGATAGGCTGATTGCCTAATGGGTTGTACATCATCTGAGATTAGCTTAATATCATGTTTAAGTATATTGCAAAACCCTGGGAGGTCTGATGTGACTTTAGGAAATGTTGATAATAACTTAGTGAGATCTTTTGCTTGAGATGGATTTAGAACAGAAAAATACTCATCCAAGTTGTTGAGTATGTGACTGTTAGCAGGGTTTTCTTTAGGTAGAGGGAAGTCTAAATTCTCCAATAGGTCCATGTCATCTGTCTCCGGCTCCGGCCCTGACAAAACCGTATGCAATACAGGTAGGCTTATAGCCTCTGGGATGTCTTCCTCTGACTGCCTGGAATGGTAAAGTTTCATGAGATTAATGTGAACAAGTTGTGAATCTTTTCTGCGATCAGGAGTATGGACTATATAGTTGAGGGAAGATAGTTTATTAGCATTGATTTGAAAGTTTTGATGGAACCGTTCCAAGCAACCTTGGGACGGTGGGTGGTAAGCCGAAGATGTACAATGGTCCACACTGAGGTCTTTCATATTCAAAGATGGATCAGATTGTTGGGCTTTAATGAGCTCATCCTTACTAATGGTCTTATTGTACAGATCTTCTGTGGGTAGGAAGATATTGGAGGTGGTTTTAGATGAAGAGGGCCCATTTCGCACACTCTGTGACCGGGTGACAGCACAAGATGGGAAAAGGTGAGGAATAGTTTCTTCAAGGTCAGTGGTGGAGTTGACAGGTAAGGGAGAGTCGACTGTCTTTATGTTGGGAACCACTAGATCTCCTACCAAGTCATTACCCAATAATAAATGAATGCCGCTCACAGGCATTGGGTCTTTCCTAATGGCTATTTGCACTTCCCCAGTAATCAAGGGACATTGGAGGTGCACTTTAGCTAAAGGATAGGAAGAATGGGATGAGAGATCCGAAATTAGAACACTCTCATTAGTAAATGCGGTAGATATATCAGGAATGACGTTAAACAGGAGGATAGATTGTGCTGCGCCCGTATCACGTAGTATACGAATAGGGAAAGAACGAGACCCCTCTATGATTGAAATTTTTCCCTCATAGGTGAATGAAGAGAAGAGATCCTGATGGGGCCTTTCCACATTGGTATTTGCTATTGGTTTGGATTTGGGATCCAGGTAACTACTTTTAGCAATTCGACACTTTGGGTGTTTACAACTCTGGATTGTATGGCCTGGGTTTTTACAGTAAGAACAAGTAAGCTTGGTTGCATCGGGGGGAGTAGGTGTGGGACCTTTCGACCTACCACTCACGCCCCAAAGGTTATCATCAGAGGAGGACCTAACATGTCGGGAAGTACCACGTTCTCTACTGCCCAGTGACTCCACCAACAAAGCGTACGCATCAGCCAGCTCAGCAGCACGCCCTAAATTAACCTCTCCACGCTCCTCCACATGCTTCAAGATGTGAAATGGTATCTTGCTCTTCCACTCCTCCAGGACTACCAAGTTTAACAAATCCTGAAATGTGGAGGTCTCTGTAGCCTCTAACCACTTCTTAAAAACCTAAGCTTTTCTTGAGCAAACTCAACAAAGGTGTGGGAAAATGGTTTGGTTAGTTTACGAAACTTCTGCCGGTATCCATCTGGCGTGATAGCATAAGAGGTGAGGATATTCTTTTTACGTTATCATAGTCATCAGTCTGGTCTAAACAGTTATAAACTCTACGAGCCTTACCATATAATTTAGGAACTAACACTGACACCCACTGGTCCTTTGGCCACTCATTCTTCCCGGCTATTTTCTCAAAAGTCCTAAATGACCCGTCCATATCGGATTCATCAAACCCGGGAACAAGGGAAGAAGCAGTAGCAGGGTTAAAAGCAGCTAGTTTCTCTCTTAATGCCACTTCTTTTGATTTAAACTCCGATGTTAAGGTGACTTCTATCTCTCTTACCTGTAGTTCTTTCAGTCTAACCTCCTGCTCCAACTTGGCCCGTTCCATCATTTCCTCATGCTCCAACTTGGCCTGTTCTAACTTGGCCTGTTCCAACCTTTCCTCATGTTCCAACTTGGCCTGTTCCGACCTTTCTTCAGGCTCCAACTTGGTAGAGATGAACTGACTCATATACTTTATCTACCTGGACACAGTGAGCTGACTCATATACTTTATCTTCCTAGACACAGTCAGCTGACTCATATACTTTATCTACCTGGACACAGTGAGCTGACTCATATACTTTATCTACCTGGACACAGTGAGTTGACTCATATACTTTATCTACCTGGACACAGTGAATTAACTCATACTTTATCTACCTGGACACAGTGAGCTGACTCATATACTTTATCTTCCTGAACACAGTGAGCTGACTCACATACTTTATCTTCCTGGACACAGTGAGCTGGCTCATATACTTTATGTACCTGGACACAGTGAGCTGACTCATATACTTTATCTACCTGGACACAGTGAGTTGACTCATATACTTTATCTACCTGGACACAGTGAACTGATTCATATACTTTATCTACCTGGACACAGTGAGTTGACTCATATACTTTATCTGCCTGGACATAGTGAGCTGACTCATACACTTTATCTGCCTGGACACAGTGAGCTGACTTATATACTTTATCCACCTGGACACAGTGAGCTGACTCATACTTTATCTACCTTGACACAGTGAGCTGACTCATACTTTATCTACCTGGACACAGTGAGGATGATGGCTGGCTACCTGATCAGCCTAACATGGGTGTTTCTGCTGGCTCTCTGCTGCACGCCTACACCTGCTCATTCTGGTACGTACTTACCTCTATTTATCTCCTGTTTTTCCACTTGTTAGTTAAGAACTACAATGATCATTATGGCCTTTAGGTTGTGAAACATGTATAATACCAAGTAATTAAATACGGTGTGAGGAAACTCATTTATGACCATTGTGCTATTGAGCTTTACATGTTTGATTTCTTCATGTACAGAAAACGTTGGGAGGTTCAGGAGCAGTAAGACTCCGGCTCCTCAGCCTCAGTATGCACCAGTATTTGGTGGTGGTGGGGGCTTTGCTGCTGGAGGTGTTGGTGCGACGAGACCCAACTCGGTAATAATTTTTGTTTAATCTTATCCAGTTCTGAAGATTTTGACTTTGAGGAAAATATGAATTTATCATATATTAGTACTAATACATTTATAACTCTGATTTTGTGAAAATGTAGAACCTTTGAACAAATTTATTCTTTCTGGACTATGATCTGAAATTCTGGATGAAAGAAGTAAGAGAATAACTTTGTAGGGAACTTTGAAAAAATTTACCTAAAATTGTTACCCACTTAATATGTAAGATGAATCTACATTTTTATTTTCTTACAGGGATTAGTCCACCCGGACACAGGTTACTGATCCACATCAGGGCCTGGGGGGTGAAAATGTAATAATAATAATAATAATAATAATAATAATAATAATAATAATAATAATAATAATAATAATAATAATAATAATAATGATGATAAGGATAATGATAATGATAATGATAATGATAATGATAATGATAATAATAATAATAATGAACCATAAAGAAAAAAGAAAAGAAAAAAGATCACAAGTGAGAAACAATATATGTATGTTGTGTTGTCAATAGTAAGAGAAACATTTGAGACCCTACAATTGTGTGCAAATGAGGCAGAAAGACATATCAGCAACCTGGGACTTGGTCACATGATTCCCAACATGGCTTCACAAGCGGACGTTCTTGTCTAACTCATCTATTAACATTCTTTTCATCAGTTTTCGAATCGGTGGACGAGGGGCACAATTATGATGTGGTATATCTCGACTTTAGCAAAGCCTTCGACAGAGTCCCCCATGAAAGACTAATTAGAAAGGTAGAAGCTCATGGCATCAAAGTTAACATCCTTAAATGGATTAGGGCGTGGTTACAGGACAGGAAACAGCGAGTGAGCATTAACGGCACTAAGTCCAATTGGAGCAACGTCACAAGTGGAGTTCCCCAAGGCTCAGTACTTGGACCATTATTATTTATTATATACATAAACGACATAGATATCGGCATAGACAGCAACATAAGTAAATTTGCTGATGACACTAAAATAGGACGTGTTATCAAATCTGACGAGGACTCAGCAAAACTACAGGAAGATCTAAACAAATTTTTCGAATGGTCTGAAAAATGGCAGATGAAATTCAACGTCGACAAATGTAAAGTACTCAGTATAGGAGATGTAAACAGGGAAACCAGATACCAGATGAACAACGATGCCATAGAGAAATCCGACTGTAAGAGAGATTTAGGAGTAATGATAAGTAGGAACCTTAAGCCAAGTAAACAATGTGTGTTTGCTCGTAACAAGGCTAATAAAGTACTTGGAGTGTTAGTTACAAGACTAGCGAGGTCATCCTAAAACTGTATCTTGCTCTTGTGAGACCACACCTGGATTACGCATTTCAGTTCTGGTCACCGTATTACAGAATGGATATAGAATCATTGGAAAGAATTCAGAGGAGAATGACAAGACTAATCCCGGGCATTAGGAACCTTGAGTATAGAGACAGGTTAAACCATCTTAATTTGCACTCCCTTGAGAGACGTAGAGCGAGGGGCGACCTGATAGAGGTGTATAAGTGGAAGTCAGGGCTAAACAAAGGGGACATTACAAAGGTACTCAAACTATCCAACCAGGAGCGAACTCGACAACAATGGTTTTAAATAAGACAAATTTAGATTTAGGCGTGAAATAGGTAAACACTGGTTTGGAAACAGAGTAGTGGATGAATGGAACAAATTACCAAATATCATCATTAACTCGAATACGCTGAATAGCTTCAAACATAGGTTGGATGCTTATATGAGCAATAGGGGTTGGGTGTAAACGGGACTGCCCAGTATGGGCCAATAGGCCCGCTGCAGTTTCCTCCATTCTTATGTTCTTATGTTCTTATATGGCAGCAGGGTCTACCATTACACAACACATTATGTTTCCAATATCTTCCCAGGCGGTAGAACCTCCCTGTTTGGGTTGTATAAATGTTTGTTTGAGTGTAAGTGATGTGTTTGTGAGCGTTGAACGATCATTATATTTTCAGACCGATAAGAATGATAGCGATAAAAAACTTATGGAAAGATAAATTATAGAGATACAAGAGAGAAGAAACTACAACGAACACTGGAACGCAAACATTTTATTATGCACAAATGTTTTATTATTGCATTATATGTCGTTCTCCCTACAGTAGTGTGGTTAATGAGGTGTTTTTCTTTATCTACAGGGAGCGATAGTACACAACCCCTACAGTAATTACCGACCACCAGTGGTGTTTGGCCCTAGACCTAGACCACGGCCCACCTGGTACTACAACCAGTACAACCAACACCAGAACCAGCCTTATTGGTACTATAGTGGATAGATCTAATACCAAGGCCCCATGGTTACTACCAGTAGGGCTACTAGTACCACCGATAGTTCAACTAGTATTGAGAGCTACACCACACCTCCCAGCAGAGTGAAATAAGTATAACATAATGTTGAAACGGCACAAGGATGAGTCCTGTTGTGTTTATCTTAACCTTATGAGGGTCGACTTGAACAAATCATTTAAAAGAATGGCCTAACTTAATCTTCTATGGTCCAGTTTATAAAATTTCTAATAGTGAGGCTTAGCTTTAATATTAAGAAATAATCTAAGCTAACCATCCCGCGTGGTTTTCTAGTTATACATTTTAAAAAGGTCCACCATCCAGCAGAGTTATCTCTCATCATCCTCTCACAGCTGCATGCTTTTAGTCGTCACGGAGAATAATTGTTAAGTTTTGTCTTAAGTCTTTTGATAAAGTTTAGCGTTTGTTATAGAGTCTGTCTGCACACCTTAATTCTTTTATTAGGTAAATACTTGTTTCTTAATGTTTATGTTAATGCAATTGTATATTATACGACCATTAATAAATACATTATAATTAAAATGGATTTCCTGACAACTCCTTTCGGCTGTCCAGTACTACGGAACGAGACACTGACAATTCTTCATCCTGTGGAATGGATAATAACAGCGATAAGCCTACAAGTGGATTAAGTCTCTAACACAATATGTAAAACACACGAGAACGATCGTGTAGTGCCTACCTTTACTTTCTGTGAGCTAACGTCACCAAAATATCCACAGGAATTATCAAATAGCCTTTTCTAAGACTTAACTTCAGCAAAACATACAATGAAGTCATTTAGTTTTTCTTTAAGACCTCTAGCTCCATCTCCTCACAACTGAGCTCATCTACACAGTAATCTTCAGAAAGTATAAGTGTTGTCTGCTTCCATAACTTACAGTAGGTGTACAAGTGGCAGTAGATGTACAGGTAGCAGTAGATGTACAGGTGGCAGTAGGTGTACAGGTAGCAGTATATGTACAGGTAGCAGCAGGTGTACAGGTGGTAGTAGGTGTACAGGTAGCAGTAGATATACAGGTGGTAGTAGATGTACAGGTGGCAGTAGGTGTACAAGTGGCAGTAGATGTACAGTTGGCAGTAGATGTACAGTTGGCAGTAGATGTACAGTTGGCAGTAGATGTACAGTTGGCAGTAGATGTACAGGTGGCAGTAGATGTACAGATGGCAGTAGATGTACAGGTAGCAGTAGATGTACAGGTAGCAGTAGGTGTACAGGTAGCATTAGGTTTACAGGTAGCAGTAGGTATACAGGAGGTAGTAGGTGTACAGGTAGCAGTAGGTGTACAGGTAGCAGTAGATGTGCAGGTGGTAGTAGATGTACAGGTGGCAGTAGGTGTACAGGTGGTAGTACGTGTACAGGTGGTAGTACGTGTACAGGTAGCAGTAGGTACTGGTAGCAGTAGGTGTGCAGGTAGCAGTAGGTGTACACTGTACAGGTGGTAGTAGGTGTACAGGTAGCAGTAGATATGCAGGTGGTAGTAGATGTACAGGTGGCAGTGGTGTACAGGTGGCAGTAGGTGTACAGGTGTGGTGTACAGGTGAGTATATGTACAGGTGGTAGTAGGTGTACAGGTAGCAGTAGGTGTACAGGTAGCAGTAGGTGTACAGGTGGTATTAGGTGTACAGGTAGCAGTAGATGTGCAGGTGGTAGTAGATGTACAGGTAGCAGTAGGTGTACAGGTGGTAGTAGGTGTACAGGTGGCAGTAGATGTGCAGGTGGTAGTAGGTGTACAGGTGGCAGTAGATGTGCAGGTGGTAGTAGGTGTACAGGTGGCAGTAGATGTGCAGGTGGTAGTAGGTGTACAGGTGGCAGTAGGTGTACAGGTGGCAGTATATGTACAGGTGGTAGTAGGTGTACAGTAGGGTGACAATAAAAAGTGAAAGTTTTTATTTTTAGATGGCCATTTGTCCAATACTGCGTACCCATGAAAAAAGAACACAGGCGAAATCCTGGGTCATTTGGACAATATTTAGAGGTGGCTCAAGCCATTTGAAGTTAACACTACTGAAATTATTATTGATTTTTTCTAATTTCTTTATTTATGAACCGATTACTATGAAACTTTGCAGGTATATGTAGAATGCAAATTCAAATTAAAGTTGTTCCTAACATTTTTTCTAAAAATGAGTAATGAGTATTTTGGCTGGTGCAGCTATTGGCAATGCAGAGGGGAGGGAGAGGCGGGTGTCAGTCGGGGTAGGGGGAAGAGGTTGTGTGCCAGTGTCTGACTGGTACAGTAGCATCAGTTGTGTGTGAGACGTGACGGTGGGTGTGTGTGCGTCGCTCTTGTTGCAGTATTACGGTTAGTACCATTGTCTTTGTCTAAAATCAATGCATCAATTTAGGTATATAACACTTTAAAAACTTTATACAAGTGATCTTGCATGCCGTATGCTTTATGGGTGCTGTTGTTTGCATAACAGTAACAACATAAGTTACATAAATGTTTTTGTTTGTTTCAGGTTCAATGGAGAGTACACGTTCAAAAACTGAAGTTTGGCTCATTGGTCAACACATAACCGAAATCACGGGTGCACAACTTCCTTCAAGAGGAGATGTTCTACGTCTGTTTTTCCACGGTCACAATGAACATAAGAAAACAGTGAATGATTCTGCGAGTGAAGTTGCAGCATCGGTTATTAGTTTCTGGAATAAAGCACGGATTCCTACCATAACTGAGAAGAGTATTGGACGAAAGGTAGTGGATCTTTTTTTAATGTGGAAGGGACTTAAGAAAAACTGCACTCGCACTACAGACACACAACGTAAGAAAGAGGAAACTTTTTGTGATGAGTTAGAGGACCTCTTCGATGTTGCCCACCCCAAGGCAATGCAGCTCTTGACCATCAAAGAAGACCGAGCATTCCTGGCAGCGCAACGAGAAAAAGGGAGAAGAGGTGTAATGGCAGGAGTAGACAAAAAGATTGCTTGTTCCATCAAGCGTCGGGAAGAAAGCAAGAGTAAGCAATCTCTACAACAGAATCAAGCCAGTTCTGCTCTTGAATATGATGAGTTGGGTTCTTCGTCTGAAACAGAATCACAATCAAGCTCGTCATCATCTACAAGTTCCCTAGCGATATCACCAGTGGTATCTTCTTCCAATCGTAAACGTGCTACTCTCAAAGTTATCACCCCTGAATTGTCAAGTACATTGGACCGCACTGGGATCAGTCACCGCTCTGCTCTCCGGATCGTCAGTGCCACGGCTGCTAGTCTAGGTCATGACCCAATGGAACTAGTTTTAAACTATGAGACAGTGCGTACTTCGCGAGCGACCCACCGTTCTGGGATTGCCAACGAAATTAAAGAAAAATTTCAACCTAGTGAAGTGCTCACTGTGCACTGGGATGGAAAAATTATTCCTGATGAACAAGGAGCGAGTGTTGACCGAATCGCCATTCTTGTCTCCGGAATCAATACTGAAAAGCTGCTTGGTGTCCCGAAACTATTGTCAGGGACTGGACAGGCCATTGCTACAGCAGTCAGTGCAGCGCTGGAAGAGTGGAAAATATCAGAGAATGTTTCAGCACTCAGTTTTGACACAACAGCTTCAAACACTGGGCACTTGTCGGGGGCATGTGTCATTCTGGAGCAGAAACTCGGCCGCCGTCTTCTGCATCTCGCGTGTCGTCACCACATCCTTGAGCTTGTTGCCGAGAAAGCGTATGTGGAATGCATGGGGCCTTCCTCTGGACCAGATAATACTCTCTTCTCTCGCTTCAAGCATAAGTGGAAGGACATCAGTCAAGATGACTACAGCCCTCTCTCAGACCTCCCTCCAAGTTTGTACGAGAAACGAGATGACCTCATCTGTTGCTGGAAACATCATCTGGGCAAGAAGCAGCAGCCACGTGATGATTACCGTGAGGTACTGGAGCTAGCAATCAGGTGTCTCGATGGAGCTCTACCCAAGTTTAATCTCCGACGGCCGGAGCACTTCACCGAGCACGGTGGATGGCTAAGCTCATTTATGTCATGAAGATCCTGATTTTTGCTAATCAGTTTAAACTAACTGCTCGTGAGACATTAGGCTTGAAACGATTCACATTCTTTGTGCTAGAGGTGTATGTCAGTGCATGGTTCACGGCCTCCGTTCCATCCTCCGCTCCTGCTAATGATTTGCGGCTCCTCCAAGACCTGTCAGAGTACCACGACGTCAAAATATCAAGAACATGTCTCACAGTCTTCGGTCGTCACCTGTGGTACCTCAGTGAAGGCTTGGTGGGTCTTGCACTCTTCGATCCACAAGTTAATGCAACAATGAAGACAAACATAGTTCGGGCAATCGTTGAGAGGAAGGCGACCGAGGATTCACCAAAACGTGCTGCTCTTCCTGCCACATCTTCCCTTCCCACAAAGCAGCTCTCAGACTTTGCTTCTAGAGGATCAAACTTTCTATTTGAAAGTCTCAAAATGAAGACTTCTTTTTTGTCCAAGGAACCTGACACATGGTCTGATGATGAAGACTTCAAAACTGGCGTCGCAGTTGTGGGTGGTCTCAGAGTCATCAACGACACTGCAGAGAGAGGGATTGCCTTGATACAGGCATTCAACAGCAAGATCACGAAGAGTGAAGACCAGCGTCAACATCTGCTGCAGGTTGTTGAAGAGCAGAGGCGGTCACAACCAGGGACATCAAAACAGGACCTTACAAGCAAAAAGCGAAAACAATGAATGGGTTGTCCACACCTCTCCCACCCATTGATGTAAGCGTGTTCACTGCAGTTTCATTTTAAAAAGGAATTAATCATTTATATGTACAGTGTACACATAAACTTGCTCAATATGTAAATTTTAAAATAAACCGGCATATTATGAATATTCGTATTTTTTGCCAAAAGGATAAAACTTCAATTGACTTGAGCTACCTCTAAATATTGTCCAAATGACCCAGGATTTCGCCTGTGTTCTTTTTTCATGGGTACGCAGTATTGGACCAATGGCCATTCCATTTAATCAATTTTAGAAATTCACCCCTATGCACTATTGTCACCCTAGTGTACAGGTGGCAGTAGGTGTGTAGGTTATGTATCTATGCTACTGTGCCAAGTAGCAACCTTGTATATAAGCTACTGTGCCGAGTAGCATCTATGTATATAATTACGTGGCAACACTCCACGTGTTATGTGGCAACATTGCCCCGAGGCTGCCATATGGCAAGGCAGTCTCAGTCTGACTGTGTGAGCCGTGCATGGCACACGCTAGTCCCCACTTGTATTTCTCCTATCCTTTAATAAACGGACTTCAGTGTTACCCGGTGTTTCCCTACCCATCACTGCATTCTTCAGGGAACACTTGGAACCTTCAAGGTGTACAGGTGGCAGTAGGTGTACAGGTAGCAGTAGGTGTAAAGGTAGCAGTAGGTGTAAAGGTGGTAGTAGGTGTACAGGTAGCAGTAGATGTGCAGGTGGTAGTAGGTGTACAGGTGGCAGTAGGTGTACAGGTGGCAGTATATGTACAGGTGGTAGTAGGTGTACAGGT